AGATTCTGTATTTGCCATATGCAGTCTTATGCATGCAGTTGGTCGGGGTGTTGCCTAATATGCCCCGATGTGTTTGGCAAAGCTGAGGCCTTTGAGAAGAATGTTGTTTCCTTTTAGCTGCGGGATTGTACAGGCGCATATCTTGCAGCTGTTATATATTGGGATCCTTGCCTTGCTGAAGGTGACATGGTTACGGTCGAAGGAAACAATTTACCTTGCACTCTTTCCAATGATGTGAGGGACGCCGGACCCGTTTTCCGGCTGGTATTATTCAATAGCAGCCGTCGTATGAACCAGGCCGGTGTGCCTGGATCATACGACACTGGCTGCCCTTCAAACAAACAAACAAGCAAACAAACAAACAAACAAGCAAAGTTTAACAAACAAATAAACAAAAAATAATTTAAAAAATCCACATTTCCCTCTTCAGGGGCGATGTCCCACTAGCAACGGGATAGGATAGAAACGAGTTTGTGGGGCAGTTGAGTGACTCAAATCCTGCCGTGCAGTACTCGTGATCCCACGGTCAGTATTTCACATGTATTACCCGAAAAAGTAAGGAGATCTATGTTCCCCTCCTCCTCTCCTTAACACTGGGTATGCCCGTGCAAAGAAAGCTTCCGGCCATAATCTGTTCAATCGGTTGGGGGCTGTGTGTCTGATTTTCGATTCAGCGGGGGTTTCCCGTTGAAAGGTTCAATGACCGTTGAACCCCCGTTACAACACTGCAACGAGGCCCGCGAAATTTTGTTTCAGAGGCAAAAAATAATCAAAACAAATAATAAAAAATATGGGGGTGTAGATTTTTTTTGCACTCTACATCCCCATATTTTTATTTTTATTTTTTGAGCATATATATATATATATTAAATAAAAAACCTAACCAGACTTAAAACACATCGAATTTTTTTTTATTTTTTATTGATTGATTGATTGATTGCCAATGGTTGATTGGTGGGGGATGGGTCGGCCCCCCCACCCCCACCCAATCACACACAACACACACACACACACACACACACACACACAGACACACACACACAACACACACATACACACACACACACACACACACACACACACACACACTTACTTTCGAAGTTCCTGTTCGACAAGGTTCGTCTAATTCCGCTTCCACCAGGGCTGGGCAATCTATCAGCCCTGGTGCCTATCACTGCTGTTCCGTCCATGTTGCCTGCCCGTTGGTAGGGCAATGGTCCCGAGTGTTGGTCACACTGAGGTAGAATAGTGGGATAGGGGGTGCGCTAGGAGTATTGACGTGAGGATGGGTTGGGGGGTGGTCTCATATCCCAGGACACCCACGGCTCACAGTTCCAGGTAATCACTGTGCACACACTGACTGACCTCTACAACACCCCGAAGCATGGTCACACTTGCAACGGGGTAGGATAGAAAAAAGCTTGTGTGGCAGTTGAGTGACACAAATCCTGCCGTGCAGTACTCGTGATCTCGCAGTCAGTATTATACATGTATTACCCGAAAAAGGAAGGAGATCTTGGTTCCCCTCCTCCTCTCCTTAACATTGGGCTTGGTGCAAAGGAAGCTTCCCGTCAAAATCTTTTCAGTCCATGGGGGGTATGGCCAACCCCAAAAGAGAGTGGGGTCGGTCATAGGCCCGCATGATAAAAGATTTTCAGTACTTTGCTTGCTGTTGTGCAATTATCTCATTGGGTAGAACCCTCCTTCAATCACGGAGTATATGGAAGGCGTGAGGATCACTGCTAGCAGAAGTTGATTTTATTCCAGAAAATGTGGCAGTTACTTTGTTCACTATTGTTGCAACCACCAGCATCAGATCATTTGTGATCTGATGGCTGGGAAGCACTCTGCCCTGATTTCAGGTGGGAGGTCTCTGTTTTTTTTGTTTTTTTTTTTTGCCATCCTCCTGTTTTCTCAGCCCAGAAATTCGTAATGAACCTGTCAGCGCGCTGCCACTCAGTGTCACACTGGATCGGCCACACTCCTATCCAACTGCTAATGGGACCTCCGCCCAGGGGTCTGGGGCCTGGTCCCACCTACAGCGTTGAGTTTTCTCCACACTGAGCTTTCTATAACGTGTGGCATGGTGGGACGGAGCTCTGCCGTTGATGTATTGCGATCTAATGGTACCGAAATACAGGAGAATAACCTATTAGATTTAGTCATTTTTTAGAATTTTTCTTTGACTTGAAATCCGTTTTGTGGTATGTCTTTGGCCCTTCTTTCTCCTTTTTTTTTTTTTTTTTTTTTTGAAGAACACAATTTATATTCATATATCCGGGAAACGGGTCCGGTGTCCCTTACATCATTTGCTGCGGTCAAACAGGCTAAGTAAGGCACTCCCAGCCAAACCTATCCCCACTACAGCCTCACAACAGAAAAATTCCCACGAGAAATGAAAGTTGAAAAAACATTTCATAAAAAAAAAATCCTTCATATGTATAAATTATCATTCCAATGTTCGTCCAATTCTAAAATTTTCAGTTTTATCTGAGAAGTTCCCGTCTAAATATGAGTTTTTCCTTCCAACTACATATATTTGTTCAAGATGGAATGAAAGTCTGGATGAGTTTATGAAATGTTTTAATTAAATTTTCATTATACTACAACAAATATCTTCTAATTTGGATTGGATTGACCTATTTATGACTGTAAATCCTTACTTAGAATGATAGTCCAATTAAAATATTTCATGAACTCATCCAGACTTTCATTCCATCTCTAGCATACAATCCAAATAAGAAGGGATACCCTATTCTTGGAATGAAAGTTTGCAAGTAAGATGAAAATTTTTAAAATTGGAATGATATTTTTTAAGATGGAATAAAAATTTAAAATTTAGATGGTAATTTTACTATAGAATGATTATTTAATTCTAGGAAATTTTTCCGTTGCTCAAGGTTACGAAAACCAATCATCCCAATCCCAACCCTAAAACAAAATTCACGTTCACTAATTTAACAAAAGTCAAATCCTAATCTGCCCCCTCTCCAAACCACCATTATCGAACAACCCTAATCTCCATCAACCAAGGTTACGAAACCTATGATCCCAATAGTAGGCTAGATAGGATGCGGCACCTGTAGTCTAGGTGGCTCGCGCACTACGAACTGGGACGGGATAAGGGCCACGTTCATGCGCACTACGAGGAAGAGAGAGAGCAAGGCAGCGCGGAGTGACGCAATCAGGAACGAGGGCCACGCGAGCAGCCGCGCGTGGTGAACGAAGCCGCGCTGGGTAAAGAAGCCACGCAGAAGACAACGAGCCGCGCACGACAGGGATGAGCGGCGCAAATGGATTGAGCTCGCGCGGGAGAGGGATGCTGCGCGCGGGCTTCGCCGGGAAGGAGCTAACGCACGGGCGAATTGACGCGCGGAACAGAGAGAGAGAGAGAGAGAGAGAGAGAGAGAGAGAGAGAGAGAGAGAGAGAGAGAGAGAGAGAGAGAAAGGGAGAGAGAGAGGAGAGGGGTGCATGAGCTCGGCCGTGAAGATGAGCGTGTCCGGGCGTAGGAAGGAAGAGCATGAATTTGGCCTTTGCCTCGGTCCGGATTCGTGCGCTCCACAATAACGAGCGTGCGGCACCGGAAAGTGAGCGCAAGCGAGAGAGAGAGAGAGAGAGAGAGAGAGAGAGAGAGAGAGAGAGAGAGAGAGAGAAGATCAACGCGGACGGGCGCGACGTGCAGAAGACGCCGCACAAATAACGAGTGAGGCAGCGCGAGCGTGAAAGCAAAGATGCGCGAGCGGGAAAACGAAGTTGCGCGATGCGAGCCAGGCCGTGCGGGGAGGGAGCCGCTGCGAGGGAAGCTGCACGGGAAACTGCGCGGGAAGATGTGAGGGGAGAGAGTTGCTGCGTGAGCAGAAGATGAGTTGCGCGCAAGGAGAACGA